CCTAACCTCCACAGGAAGGTCCAGGATGTCAGAAGCTTCCAGGAACCCTGGGCACACCATCCACGTATAAATACTGATGCAGTGCAGCAGTGCTTTCAATTCCCTGTAGCGCAGGTGCCAGCAGCACTGAGCAGCACTGGCTCAGGTGGACTTGAGCCCCCTTTCCAGGAAGAGCACCTGGGTCTGCCCCATACCCCCTTGCTGGCTGCCTGCACTGCCAACCGGAGCTGCTTTGCTGTTATCCTGATTCTCCATGCTTAGTCACCATCCTTTACAGGCGTGCATGTAACTGGGGTGACTGGGTGAAACTTTAAGAAAATAGGAATAATGTTTGGTCAAGTTCTTACATGAAAGATGATACAGACACACAATGAACGATTATTTCCACATTTTCCTTCCATACTGTTATTTTGCTCAAGACTTACAAAGAGTTCTGTATGCCTACTGAATAGGCACCAGACACACACTACTCTACAAGCTTGCTTTCACATCCTGTGCATGCTTGAAAAGACAAAGTCAGGAGAAGAAAAGTCACCCCTCATCTTCCCTTCTTGGTAGAAAATGACATTCCACTTCCAAGAGATCTTTGCTTAAACCTGGAGTTTGGTTTTGAATTCAACAGGATCCTGTCAAGTTCTGTCAACACTCCCAGCTTCCTGACCAAACCAGAATGCAAGATGATGACTGCTCACTGATGAATCCTGCAAGGACTCGTATCTCTATCACAGTCCAGAAAAAACTGAACCAACACCAGGGACAGCTGAGAGCATGAACTGGGCCCAAATCTCAAATCTCAGATTATGTTTAAGGAAGAAATTTTTTACAATGAAGGTAGTGAAACATTGGAACAAGTTGTCCAGAGAGGTGGTGGATGCCCCATCCCTGGAAACATTCAAGGTCAGGTTGGACTCTGAGCAACTTGATGTAGTTGAAGATGTCTCTGCTCATTGCAGGGAGTTGGACTAAATGAATTTTAAAGGTGCATTCCAACCCAAATTATTCCATGATTAATATCTGGGACAGGTACATTTCTGGTTTAAGCTGTCTGCAGTTTGGCATTATAGTCTAAATTTGTTCTGGAATTAGCCAAGGATCTGCAAAGTACAGTTAAAATCCCTAACTGAGCCTTGATTAGAACTGAATTTCCCTGCATCATCTTCACAGAAACATTAGCTGATTAGTTCATGTAAAGGAATGTCAATCTAAAACTATTTTATTTATTAAAGAATAAAAATAAACAAAGAAAACAGGAAAGCAATTCCAAAGACAACTTACCTTACTCGATAGTACCTGGGTCTGAAACCTACCAATAAATGCAGACTAAATGTCCCAAAAAATATTACTATGAGGAGACATAATGCATTCTTGTGATACTAGCTCTCAACACCAAGGGACTGAGGAAAGGATTAAAGACTTTCTGAAGGCAGAAAGACATTTCAGGGGAGGCATGGAGATGCTTGACGGGGGTACAGGGAGAATGGCTAAAAAACTAATAACGTGTTGTACAGATAAGCCATAATTGTCACACTCACAGCTCTATGTTTCCACGTTAAAGATGAATTACTTTGGCTGTCAGCAGCTTCATTAGCCAAAAGAGGCCATTCAGATGGACCCAAACCTATTTACTTTCCAGAGCTGGCAGTGCCTGCTTCATATTGCGGGGCCCCACGTTGGTTGTTCACTGATGCTGATAACTCCTGTGGGAGCTTACATCTTGCTAAGTACTTCAGTGTTTAATTGAACTGACCTTTCCTGACGGTGCCCCTTGTATTAAAAGCTGCTTTACTCCCCAGTGAAAATGGTTTGATAATCATAATATTTTACTCAGAGGACAGTTGTTTAAGAGCAGAAAATAATCAGCTAAATTGGTAGGCTCCCCTCTGGAGGGGCCCAGCACTAAAATGACAAAAGGTGCTGCAGATCAAGAGAGCTGGCAGAGCTGATGATCAGGACAGAGCTAGGAGCTGTGCTGTGCTGCTTGAGGATTGGGGACGCCAACAAACTGGAGAGCTGGGGGGAGGTGAGCGCAGGTTGAGTCAGTACAGCATGCTCTGCTCAGAGCCCAGGCGTGTTGGCATGGCTTGAGCGGGGCACGGGATGGGCAATGCCACATGTGGGAGACACAGCAAGAGAGACAGTTCTGTGCAAGCACAGACCTGGTGCAGGACTGCAGAGTGCAGCAGCAGTGAGGGACACACAGCAGGGCAAGTATCTTAAGCTGAGATGGGGAAATGGCAAAACAAACACTTGCTTCTGTGGTACAAGAATCCATCTTAGAGGTCTGTTTGAGATAATAAATGCATATCAAATTCAGGTTTGGATTAGGAGCCCTTTGAGGACTGAGATTTGGAGATGAGATTTTCTTAAACAGAGGAACCATTTGCTTTCAGACCATTAGTGGCCTGGGGACAAAGAGGTTTGAAGTGAGAGGCATGTTTGCCTGGAGCCACCTTTTCTCCCTGTTTTCTTCTCGCTACTTGTCTTACCAGATGGTTGAACAGCATCTGGGAGAGCTTTTTGGGGCTTGCAGCCAAGGTTGTGCAAAGAAGCACATCCATGTAGATGTAGCTGGAAACACAATGTAAATCTTTCATGGAAAGGCACAATGATAAAGCACCTGATAACAGACAATTCTTTGTTTTCAACTTACTGTGATAATGCATTTGCTCACCTCAATGTGCTCTGCTACACCTTCTCCTTCCCAAGGACAACAATGTGTTCATTTCTAGACCTTTTTATACAGAACTGGCATTTTTTGGGTCTCTCAAATCAGGACTAGAGTGCTACATCACCTTCTACTATTTTTTCACTGCAGGAGTAACAATTTATTTTTTTTAGTTCAGCTAACATTTTTCTTTCCTCTTAGTGTCTCAGAGTTGCAGGCATTCAAAGAATGTTCTGTTGAGTAGACTAAATTTTTTCTTGTTCTTTATTTACAACGACATTTCAGTTGTTTTCCTCTTTGTGCTAAAGCTACATAGGACAGGACAACACTCATTTTCTCTCCAACTGGGAGTGTTTTGACTGGTTGTGTCTGATTGAGCCCCTAGGAATGTGGGATGTGTGGGAGCTCCCATGGGCTCCTGGTGCCAGGTTGCCAAGATAAGGCAAGATAAGCTGCTGCAGATTTGTAGACAAGAGCCTCCAAGGTGGCAGGAGTGAGCTGGGGGAGACACCAGGACAGTATCTGTGAGATTTAGAGTGCGCTGGGGTGACCTACATTGGGTCCCATGAAGTGGATGTGCAAAAAAAATTGTCCCCTCTCCTGGATGAGCCAGTAAAAGTCCATATTGCTTCAGCTCTGTCAGGGCACTACATCCTTCAGCACTGTCCTGCTTCTTCCTGCTTTTGTTAGACAGATTTTCTCAGCTATCTGATCAAGCAGTCACAAACAGCTTGCTTGGCCCTTGGAGAGTTACCAGAAGTCCACTGCACATGAAGGTAACTGGGCTCACCTTCCATTGTGCTACCCACTCTTGGCATAGACTCAAGTCTCCAAGATGACCATAGCTGGGTCTGAAAGTCTACCTTTGCCTCATACTTCTGTGTCCATGAACCACAACAAATGAATTGAGGACATCTGTCAGCATAAAAATCCCCTGAAATAAAATTTACCCAAGGATCTAAAATTGCAGTTTAACTGCAAGGGCTCCAACTTGATTTTATCAACTTCCCTTTGAATGGCAATTACATTGTGAACTGATCAGTTCAAGCCTAAATGCTCTGTGTCTTCTTTTAACTAAATACTCATTGTCTAAATATCCTTCTTACTCTTAGTACTTCGACTTACCAATTTAATCAGTTCCCCCATTATTCACCTATCTGCTCAACCCTGCATTTTGTCATCATTATTTTTTTCAGGTGTTGTAAGGAGTTCTTGCTCATTATACTGCCAAGCAAAGAATACATCTTAGCCAGAATGTTTTCATACTCCTGTATTTCTCAGCTTAAAAAGGACATTTAAGTTGCTTGATATTCACAGGGGATCTCCTTGAAACTTTGCGTACATTCCTTCTATTCTGGCCCTAAGGAACAAGACTGCATTCAGGAAAATACAGTAAATGATGCTGGTTTGAAAAATTCACTGCCTAACCTTGTATAAGCGGTCCACAACATCTCCCCCGAGATGGAAATATTTTGTTAGTGGAGTATTTTGAAGAACTGCCTTTGAATGCCAATTAAAAAATCCCCAAAAAACAGAAGAGAAATTCTTTTCATTTGCTGTTAGTTTTACTACATGCTTTGAAAAAAAATGATTATGAGGAAGATATCTTTTATGTGTGTCCCTGGTAATATTTGTCAAATGATCCCTTCTTCCTTTTTCTTTTATAACAATTACAAAACTGTATTTTCACTTTCTCAGAAGGTTATGCAGCTTTATCCTTGCTTGTAACAGTTTTTTTCAAATTATCTATTTTCCTAAAGGCATTTTCCCTGTACGGTTTATCTGTAAAATTTCCCTGAAAAATCTGGGGCCCCTAGGAGGGAAGGATTAAGCACACTATGTTGCCTACTGTCCTATCATTACTCTAAGGCATTGTCTGGTGGACAAATTTCTTGCTGTGTTGGAGGGAGCTGCTGCATTTGGGATTTGATGGGGGAATATAATTATCTATAAGTAAATAAATGATAGAAAAAGAGTATTAGCCAGGATTTTGATATGATATCAGGCATTCTGTAAATATGTCTGAATTTGGTGACAGGGAGTACAGAGACACAAACTGAACTTTATAGCACTCTTTCATCTATGCTTTTTCTGAGACATAGCTCCAGTTTGTAGTGCCTTGCAGACTTGTAGATTTTGGAACATTTGTTCCCAGAGGAGCATTAGCCTGTTGTAACAGATAGATTCAACGAAAATATCATTTACCCAGCTTGAATAGATATCCTCAAAGTCACTTCAAACTGTGCATCTCCTTTACTTACAAGTGAGCAGTGACAATGTGATAGTGGAATATCACAGTAAAAATGAGAGTAGTTCTATAAAACCAAAATCAAACCTGTGCATCTTCATATGTATATCTCCCTGGGTCTTTGACATTTTGGCTTGTTTTCTCATAGCTGTGGGAATCCAGGTTGATAGCACTTTGGGCCCCAGGAGCTAGAAACTCTTGCCAGATTTCTTCCACTCTGGTGGTTACATCCTGTAGAGGTTGTTTCTTGAGATCTTGGACAGCCAACCAAAACCTGTACTAGGCAAAAATTAAAAGGGCAGAAAAGAGAAAAAGATAGAAAGCTAGGTAAGACATTGTGAATAAGCCTGGGCAGAGTCCCAAAATACAGACACAGAACCTAATCTCGCATCTATCAGAATTCACAGAAGACTCTCCATTTAGCATGATTTCAGGGAGAAAGTGTGGTGTACTTTACACTTTAAGATGTGATGCATTCTTATTCAAAGTGCTCCTGCAGAAGTGTCAGATTAGTTATGCAAACAGGAAACCTCCAGAGCCATGCAGGTGGAGTAGGGGAGCAGGCTCTGCCTCCCACAGCCTCATGGCAATGTGCCAATGTGCTGGTCATTCCTGCCTGCAGGATCAGTCATCCAGAGGGGATGCAAAATGCAAACCAAACTTAATATTTGTATCATTTCCAATGTGAAGTTGTAGCAATGGCACTTAGAGAAACCTTTTTTTTAATATATTACTCGTAAACTGACCAGCATTCAGAAGGATGCCATGGGAAGAGATCAGAGAATCACAGAATATGCTGAGTTGGAAGGGACCTGTAGATGAATCTTGTTATGGCCATACTCCAATTTTCTTGACTAGGCCATGCTTATGGACTAAAATGAATTCATAAACATTGAGAAGATAATCTCTTTCATGGCTAAGGGCATAATCCACATCTTGATCTGTGAAACCAAAGGCCAGAGAATATTTCTGCAAGAATGACATGCATGTCTTTTACCCTAGGAAAAAGAAAAGGCATTTTGTTGGCAATGCTAATTTTATTTATTGTTGACAGAAATATGCCCTTTCTGATGATTAATTCAGAAGATGCATGGTACCCAGCAGCATTTTGTTTTGGTTAACTCTATCTTCCAGCAAGAAGGTATCCCTGGGGGTTATCTGCCTTGGGTACTGAGGGCCTACAACCGGGCTGAACAGGTACAATAGTGCTCTGGAGGGAGTGCTGAGGGCTACAGGGCAAATAGGTACAGAAGGGACCTTTGCAGCCACCTGCAATAACCAGCTCTTTCCTAGCCCCTGGCAAAGAAGCCCATTGTCCAGGGATGACAAGAGCAGGGTTCACCTTGGCTGCCACTGCCCTGCACTGCTCTTATGCACTCACCTCTGCTTGGCACACTGTGCGGCAGGGACAGGGTTTGTCTGGGTCACTGCTTGTTCAGGGCACCTGCAAGAGCTGCACAACTTAGAAAATCCTGTGTCTCCCTTATAAACCAGTTGAACTTTCACTGAAATCCTGATTTCTCACCCCGAATGATTCAATGGTGCCAGCGTGCTGCCACTAAGGCAAATGTTCCTCCATGGTGGAAGGAGGAAGATATAGACTGTCTCAAACAAAAACCCTGATGGCAGTGAGGGTAGGTGGAGAAGCCAGCAGCCTTGTGACTTCTGTGCTGTTTCTGACACTCAGAAACTCACTCACTTCCCTACCGACTGGAGGCAGTACCTAACCACCCTGGAAACAGTGGGGTTATCACAGTCAAATGAGGCAACAAACCCATTTAGTCTGGTCACCTACATGCAGTAGAGGGAAACAGCTGATTGGGGAAAAAAAGACATCCACACTGCATGCAAGGCCAGGCTAAATCCTCCTTGCCTGTCTGCTGCTTCTCCCCTACCATAAGAAGGCCTAATGTCACAGCCCTGACCCACCCAAGCCAATTCCTTCATACGGTTTTCCCATCTCCCTGGCAGGCTGTCAGTAAAACGGACTGGGGTACACTCAAATGCGGTATCAGTACTGTGGAGTCACGTACTTGTGGTGCTCACATACTGATATTTGGGTTTATAAACTGAAACAGAGTATTTGGGGTTGGTGCAGGTGTGTGCATGGTTGGTCCTTTTCCATCTATGAGATGTTAAGTGCACCTGGTGTCCTGCCTTGTTATTTGAACTGTGACACCCCGCTTATCACATGCATGCCGAGAGTAAAGAGTAGCACTCACACTGCAATAATCTGATGCCATATGTGGCTTCTGTTACTTGAAAATATTTTATCATTCAATTTCAGATGCAATGGGAACATGTGAATGTAGAAAAGGCATAGGAGAAAAGATGCTAATCATTGCAGAGTAGCTGGGACACTTCAGACAAACATTTGGCTATAGAGAATGTTTTCTGCTGGCTTATCTTCTGCCCCTAGGAAGGCGGGCTGGGAAAGCACACTCGTGAGAGAACTGGGAACACTGTGAAGTGACAGCTTGCCAGAACAGGAGCACCATCCATTTTAATAACCATTTGGCTCAATCTGAAAACCAACCAACCAGACCAACCTGACAGTAACAAGAACAAGCTCTTTTTACTACAAGCAATTGTGAGTTCATGCCCAAGGCTGGATGTCCTCTTCAAGGCAAAGGGGAGTTTTGTCTTGGTAAAAATTTCAATGCTATTCACTACAGCTGGCATCTGAAAATCAAGGAACATCAAAGAGGGGTACCCAGTCCCACAGCTTCAACTCCGAGGCAAATTCTCTGCCATAAGGATACATGCTGAAGCCAATGTATAAGCAGGGCTCCCTATGGGATTTACAGCATTTAAAAGAGAGAACCAGGTATTTCTGTCCAGGAAATGAGCAGACACACAATGACTGTGCTGGAATTTCTGCTCAATTATAAAGTGCAAATGCACTCCCTGAATCACTTCTGCAATTTCTGAAGTGCAAGCCCAACCCCAAGTTCACAAGGAGTCAGAAGATCCTGCATTGCCTCCTCCCCTTCTGTAGGAGACAGATTTCCAGTAGACACCTCTTGCACAGGGCAGGGGAGGATTGAGATGTCCTTGTGTGTCCTCTCCACAGGTGCTCTATAAGCAGTGAAGGACTGGCACAGGGACTGTCTGCACAGAGGGAACAGCAGCATTGATCACATGTTCTTCATCCTTTATAAAACAGCATGTAAGGTCTGGCAAAGGCTGATAATATGATGTCCTAGTGTTGTCAGTGGCATAAACCATTCCAGCTGCATCCAGCTTGTAATTAAACTGCTATTGCTTGCAGAAGATATCTCATAGTGGCACTTTATCCTCCACAGCTCCCTTAAGGCACAGAGAGATCCTGAGCCTCAGTACACCTGCTCTGCCTCCCAGCAGGGCACTGTAGAGTGCTTGGTCACTGCTGTTCACAGATGTCCCTCAGTGAAAAGACTGCTGGGGCAAGACAGGGAAGGTATGTTTTAAAACAATTAATTTTAAAACCTGATCAAGAGGCAAAATATGGATGACTCCAGAGACTGAGGAACAACTGACAAGATAAGGGCAGTATTGTATCCCCTTCTTGGGGGAGGACATGGTTCCTCTGGCTTGACAGTGAAATCACCAAGTCTTCAATAGGAAGCTGGAATCTGAGCTCACACCTCTCATTGCCTCAGCAGCTCCATGTCAGTATCTGGTGCACCTCCCGTGTCTTGCACCTCTAGCCATTCGCAAACCTTGTTCTCACTTCATTCACCAAGACAAGTATCTTTTGAACATCTCAGTCGGGATGGGAAATAAATGAAAATAATAGGTATAAATCTACATGCAGCTCAGACAGGGGCAATATTCACATCTTTTTGTTGTTTAACAGCCAGATCCTTGGTACGGTGAGCCTGGCGTGGCCAAGACCAGCAGAAATCTGTCCTTGGTGGGCAAGCTGGGGGCGCAGGGCTGCTGCGAGGTTGTGTGCTGGGGCACAGGAGACTCTCCGAGGAGGCCGCAGTGTCGGTGGGGGCGGGGGCAAGCGTCCCGCAGGCCTCCCCCTCACCGTCCTTCCTCCCCTGCTCTGCTGTGCTGTGCTGTGCTCTGCTCTCCTCTCCCAAGCCGTGCACGCAGCACCCACAGTGCAAGTCCCTCGCCCTGCTGCCTGTCCGTTCTCTGTGGCTGGAAAGCCCTTTATTCTCTGTATCTGGGCAGCGCCCTCCGCCCGCCGGCGACCGAACCCGCTCCCGCTGAGCCCCGGGCCCGGCGCGAGGCCGCCCCGCGCTCCAGCCCCGCGGCCCCGGCGCGGCCCTGCGGCGGAGCTGTGGCGCCGCCTGCTGGACAGGGGGACCCGCCCGGCCACGGCACTGCCCCGGCACCGGCACCGCAGAGCCGCTCCGGGAGCTTGGGCAGTGCCTGGAAACTGCTCGGGAAACGCTTTTTGTTCAGTAAACTAGGGGCTTGGGGTGTGTGTTTACTTAATACACCAGCTCCCCTCCCTGCCTGAACCTCTCTCTTCCTGATGAAACCTGGAAAAAAAGTAATTGGCAACACGTTGTAGCCATTATGAGTCATGTAAGATATAAACACTTTCTTGCAGGTAAAATTCCATTCTAGCTAACTCCCTTTTCAACATATGCTCACAATCAATAAGGCCCAGACCGCCTGCATCCATGCACCACCAGCTCCACAGCGCATTCCCACAAAGCATCATGTGTTCCCCATTTAGGTCTATAAACAGGTGTGCAGCCTCCTTTTCCTTTGGGTGAAACTCCCATGTCTGATATTCCCACTTTGCTGTGTCTCTTTCCAGCTGACACTCTTTGAAGTTGGGGGGGGAGGGGAAATCAATCTATCAGTTAGATGAACATCTCAGAAATCTCAAGATGTCCCAGGAGATTCCTAGGTCATAAAAAATGTATAATAACTCTGATGCCTTTCCTTTCCCTTTCCCTTTCCCTTTCCTTTCCTTCTTTTTAATGGAAGCAGAATTTTGTCTGCTATATTTTGGGTACTTCAAAAATCAGCAAAGTCAAAACAAATTGTAGATGAAAGACAGCAACTGAGACAAGATATAAAAGAGAGAAAGGAAAAGAGTTAAAATAAAAACAGAGAGAAAAATATCCAACTGACTGGCTTTCCTGCTCTCCCATAAATAATGGGCAGCCAGTAAATAAGTAAGTTGCAGGGCTCAGCCAAGCCCAGGAGACTGGTGGACATGATCCTGCAAGTTTATTAGAACACAGAAACACAATTGGAAGGAGATCTGGGAGGTCATTGAGTCTAGTCTGCTGCTATATCTGGCAGTGCCTCACCCGAGACCCCCACCGGGACCAATTTTTCTCAGCTAGGAAAATATGGAAATACCCCACCACGATCAGCCCTGTGATTTGGGACTTGCACCACTGGGTATAAGAGCAGAATTTGGTCCTCTTGCTATACTACTGAATTACATTCATTTCAAGGCATTCTCAAGCACACACTTCATGAAGTCTTTTCTAGTGCTACCAGGAATTTCCAGGTTTTCTCATGTGCCTTAAGTTAAACACAGGCTCTGGCCTACAGGGTTCCGGCCAGCGCTAATGAAGATCCCACTGACACTCCCATGAGATAAAACAACCCGGCTGCAAAAGTTCCCAGATCTCTGGATAGTTACTGGGGCAAGACTCCTTAAAAGATTAAATACAAATGTCATTTTTCTAGCAAGGTTCTAGATGCTGTGCCCTCAAAAAGCTCCTTACAGCTTCCCAGAGTTTGGTGGGACTATCTCATTTCACTGTAGATGTCTACCATGCAGACACTGTCATTGAATCAGTCTCCCCAGGCTTATGGTAAAAAGAGACAAGCACTTTACAGTGTAATTTAGGTCCTTTTAGTTTTGCTTCCACTTAAAACTGAAACAAATCCTTCCCAGGTGATTCACTGATTCTTCTTCAGCTTCTCTTGTCTCTCTCTAAATATAGCCTGGATAAAAGTGTATCCTTCCAAGCTGTAAACTTAGGTGAGACAGATACCAACCTTGCTGCTGAGAGTAACTTAGATTTTCCTTGCGTGTTTAAGCATCCAGCTTAAACTTTCCTTTATGCCACACACTCCAAATGAGAACTGAAGAGCTTTCTCTGCTTCACCTGAACCCTACAGAGAGCCACCTTCTTCTCTCAAGCACCACTGTTACCAATCCACCTTATTCTAGTTTTCTTCATTAATATTTCTGCCTTTGCATTCTGTTATTTAAAGCTTTAAGCAGGCTTGCTAATGCTTATCCAGTATTTGATAATAACGATATACCATGATACCATGATAATGATACCCTAAGAATTATAGCAAAGTTCCCATATTAACTAAGAATGATACCCATGTCTTCCACAAAGGATGCAGGATTTAACCTCTCTATGCTAGCCTGCTGACTTGCCACCTCCCTTCACTACAAGCCATCTCAAAACCAAAGAGAATGAACATCAGCAGGAGGAACAGCTTCGACTGACCAAGGGAGGTACATGTGTGCCTTCTCATAATGCAACTTTCTCCATTTGTTTCAGTAGGATGAATGTGGAGGACACCCACTAGTCATAAACCTGCTGGATTTCATTGGCACAACCCCAGATATATTTCAGAACACCCATCTTAGGAGTACTTTAATACAGTATATTAATTTTGCACTTCACTACAATTTAATTGCAAATGAGCACCACTGTACATAAGTACAGTCAGCATATGCAAGTTCAGTACCTTTTCAGCAATAAACTTCCAAGCTCATTTATGTAATTAATAACACTCCCTTGTTTATCTAACAGTTTAACTTTCAGGTTTTTAAAAACAATAAATATAAAAGTGCATTGAGTTTTCACTGTTTTGCTGCTTGCATGCTTTTTGTATTTCCCCTTGGACAGGCAAATCTGATAAATACAGTGGTCAGTTGACTGACTTCATGCTCAGTTGACAGCAGATTTCCAAATCCCAAGAGCAGGCACAGTTCTGCCAGTGAACCTGCAAAGCTCTCTGGCCATCCCTGCCAATGCTCACTCAGCATTCTGGAACAGGACTGCCTCAAAGGAAGCACAAGAACAGGTCCCTATACCATATACTGAGACAGAACCACAGCACCACAACAAAGCCTCTGCACCGTAATTCAGACTCCATAAAAAAAGTGGGTTTTACTGGATACCGCCACATCTAGGGCAGTCAAATTCCATTACTGCTGGATCCTTCTGTGTCTCTAGGACTAACCAGGGGAACGAGTAGATGAGAACTACTGCAGATAATGCATGAAGTGCCTCTGACCTGTGTTACCTCAGTTAAGGAGCAGGTTAAGGATCCCACACATGAGTACAAAAGCATAGAGTGGCATGCTGACACCAACTTAAACTTTCCCTTGCTTGCTCTGCTGTTGCTGCTTGTCAGCGTCCTGCTACTGCCCAAATAGATCACCCTTACAGTAAATTGGGTTGTTTGTCACAGGCAGGCAAGAGTCTGATCCGTAACCTCAGCCACTGAGTATCATCAACCTCTACCTGTTCAGGCTGCCTCTCTCGCTGGCATGAGCCGTCTCTCATTTTCTTTGGACTTTGCAGCACCCAGCATTGAAGGTAGTATTTAAATACCTCCAATCCTGAACCTGAATCCCACTGTTTGCCGCAGTCCCATTTCAACATAATCCTGGGAACCTCAATTTCTCAGAGCTCACTGTACATGTGCTTCTGCTGTTATGGGACTTGGTGCAGCTTGGTTGTATCTGCAGGATACAACAATACGTTAGCTCTCCACAGCAGAAGAGCTGCTTTCCCTAAAATTAACTTTGAGGTTAGGCTTGGAATTAGAGTTAAGATTCAAGACAAGGATGATTAAACCTGTGACTGTATACTGATTAATGCTAGGACACGAAGGGGACTGATCCTTGCTATGTAAGCATAGCTATGAGTTTAGTTTAGGGTCTATGGGGGATATCTAGCTAGACCTCTCTTTTTCTGTCAGTGTGAGAAGATACTTGGTATCAACAAGGGGAAATGGTTTAATACATTAGTTCTGGGGTATGTAGGGTGACCAATGAATCCTAAGGAGCTGTGTTTAGCACTTAGTTTTGCAGCTGGAAGGGCTGAAGAGACAAGCATTCTCTGAAGGATTGCTACCTCAGAATGAAGCATGCTGTTGTCAACTTTCAATGTCTTTTCATCAGTTCTGCAATGGGACTTTATCTTGGAGTTATGGACAAGGTCAGAGGGCCTGGATTTTACAGGAAAGGTTTTATCTTCATCTAGTGTTGGTTAATGGCAACTTACTACTGCTGTTTATTCCTGCTGTAGTTAAAGCAGCAGAATTGTGCACAAGAGTTATAGACTCTCAGTCTGATGTAGTATCACAAGGGTGTCTACAAAATGCTTCATAATAAAAGTTTTGTCTTTTTCATAACTTGAAAAGTCAGATACTCAGAATCCCCACATAGACCAAATGCTATTAAGGTGAGTCAAGCTCTCGAATAGTTAGGAGGTGCCGGAATTAAAAGTAGTTGTTGCAAAACTGTTAGTCAGTGCCAGTACTGCAACAGTGCTTAGCCACATGATCACTATACTGTTTCCCTCACACAACTGTTGCCACAAATACACATGTAAATCCTATATATTGTTAGGAGGCTTAATAGCTATATGCTGTGTCTCATCACATTATTTCAACTTTGCAAACCTTTGCATATGATACCTGACAACACTGGCTCTGCTAAAAACTGCTTCTGAGATTACTTACATAGGTCTAGTATAGGCATCTGTAGCAGTGCTATGGGCCAAATCCTACCATTTTCAACTTTATTCAAATGGGTGTTTTTAGCAGTTCAAGATAGACCAAACACTGCGCTTCACCTATGCAAGAGAGTAGCATCAGTTGCATTCATTTAGTTCAAGTCAAAAAAGGTTTCACCTCAGGTTTTCTGAGCTGAATTCTGATTCCAGGAAACGAAGGAACTGGTCTCGTCCTACTGGATCCTTCAGCACCTCATCCATGGAGAAACCCCATCTTTTCACACGCTGCTGACTAGGTTCTTTGCTGTTTGGAGAGAGAAGGGAAAAAACAGATGGAATGTGCATCTCTGCCTGCTGTCTGAGCAGCTGCTGTTGTTTCTGCTAAGCAGCAAAGGGAGGAAGATTATCAGATGAGATGATTTTTTTTCTCAAGATTTTGCAGAAATACAAGTTAGCAAATAACATAACAAAGTTTTAAAGACCAGGGTCATCATTAAAGCAACTGTACTATCTGGGTCTACATACATAGCTACATACATGAGAGAGACAGTGAATTACTTGATTTTCAGAGTAACTTCTGGTAGGTTTCATGCAAAGAACAGCATACCATACTCAAATGATTATTCATTATGTACTGCTTGCATATGTCCTCAAATGTACCTTAGGATTTCTTATATGCCAAGGCAGAAATTTTCCAGCAGTATTCCCTGGGACACTGGTGAGCTCCAAATCATCTCCTTGTGTCCCACACAGTGCTGGCTGGTCACTTGGAACTGGCTTCAGATTTTCAGATCCCCATTTGCATTAAAAAAGCACTTTCACTAAGAAGCAGTGCAGACAAGATTTCTAAAAATGATTACTGGTTTGTGGTCTTTTATTTTTCAGTGCCTCTGATTTTTGCATGGCTAAGTCTTGGAAGCCTAAAAAGCATCTTGCTCCTACTCTCCACAATATTCAGTGTCTCATCTGGGACACTGAGATGCAGAGGCACCCAAAATAACTAACAACCTTTCTCTAAGGTTTCACTAGTTTCACTAAGACCAACTTACATAAGCTGTTGTTTGAATTGCCAGACATGTTGCAGAGACACCTATGGGGAGAGGTGGTGCATGGGAACCACAATGAGGATTCTAAAAGACAGTCCGCATCAGAGCGTAATCCGGGCTCACCAAGTGTTTGAAAGCTTCTGGTGTGATGGTGTCATACTATGAGACAACCATTAAAATACAGCTCAGCTGCTCACGTTTGTGACAGTAGAGCCATTGTTAACAGTACATATCTATTAAACTGCATGCCTCGTCATGTCCACAGCGATTCCTAATCCTGGAGCCTTAGGGGACAGTGGCGATCTGTGCTGAAGACAAATAAGCCAAAGGGGTAAATAAAATGCCTGCTTTGATTTCCTCTTGGTGTAAAGGCTAAGCGAAATCGATAGGCATTTCCTCACTGAAAGCGCAGCACACTCCGGATGGCTCCTCCTGCACTCACCCAGGAGCCAGCAGTGCTGCAGACAAGGGTGCAGATGCCTTAGCCTACCTGTTAAGTGAGCCAGCCTGAGCATTGGGACACAAAAGCTATGTTTGTGCAGAGCCATGCATAAGCTAAGCTCAGGGAATTTCTTGCTGAATCCAGAGATCTGTAGCTGTTCTTCTTGCTTCTGCACAATGTTCTAGCACAAAAAAAAAAAAAAAGCCAAAGTGCTGTCTAAAATTGAATGCTTTCTGTGTCATTTCCCAAGTCCCGATTGCCATGAAGGATGAACTGTAGTGGCACAGGGCTGCCCATACTCAGCAGCCAGCCTTACCATCAGAAGTGAGAGGCTCTTTGTTTTCCTGTGCAAGGGCTCTGCTCTCCTAACTGAGGAAACAGCTTTGCAGGCAACACAAGGGGATCTCGGGGATCATTTAATTATTCATGCAAGTTGCAACTAGATGCAGATGCAGGGAGTTCTCTTACAATAGAGAATAAAATGGAAATACAGAGCTGTTTGTTCTTCCATCTCCTAACAATACAACTTTCTCTTTTTCATCGGCAGGAGAATCACCTTCCTTAACTCTGAAATCACAGCAGAAGCCAAGCATTTATTTTAAATTCCTATAAAGGCTGTGACATCAGGTTAATTGTATTCTTCAGGGACACAGACATCTTTTCTGGGATTTACAGCTACCTCAACAGATGCAGAAATAATGGATGCCATGCCTCACCCTGGGTGAGGGTTTCTGCAGAGCAGTATTTTGCAAGGGCTGTATCTGGTACTAGCCCTACTAGGGAGGATGGAGAAGATGAGAGAAACTAACTAAAAGAGAAATCCTAAATATTAAAATTATGTGAAGAGGGGCAGAGGTTAGGGAACTAATGGATTTCTGTGACTACCAGAGAAGCAGGTGAAAGCATCTTTCACGTCCCAGACCACGTGGTTTTTAAACAGAAAAAAACTTCCCCTTTGCTTCCTATGAATTGGCTTTCTTGGACCAATAGTATCTCTAACTTTAAATTATTATTCAAGAACAGATAGGATTAGATTTAGCATTTTCTTATCAAATATTAGCTAAAGTGAACTCCCTGTTCAGATTTGGTGCCAAATGGCAGCAGCTAAACACTAGGAGAAGCTGCTGAGCCAATGCAGTAGTTGGCCACAGGATGTGATTGAGTACTGAAGGTGATATGGGGCATGGTGATTCCATTCAAACCTGCTGTGCAACTTGCAGTGGCAGGCAGGAAAAGTTTTGCCCCTCTGTGAGGGCTATGGATAGTGTATGATGGCAAGAGATGTAGACACAGGCCAGACTTCCCTTGCACCAGCGTCAATTGGGTAAAATATGATCTCCATTGCAATGCTGTGCTTGGGGGTTTTTTTGGAGAAACTCTCTGAGGTGCAGGGCATTGAAAGTCCTACAATCATTCCTCCTCCTTTCCACCTATTAGACACCATACCAGAGACAAACCAGCTTGTTCACCAACATGAGAACAACAGAGTCACTTTATCAATCTACTAGAATTCTGACCTGCCAAATCTCACACATTACATGTGAACTACATTCCTCTGGCTCCTGTGCCAAATCCACTTCAGCAAAGCAGGAATGGCCATTGCCCTCTAACCCATCCTATTCTCCAGCAGCACCTTTCATGGGATTCCAAGACACAAGCAGGGCTGGAGCATTGCAGCTGGTGAGGAGCAGAGAGCAGGCTCTCAAGCATCAAAGGAGATGTGCTGGAACAAGTATATCTTAGCAGTATCCTATAGCTGTAGGCTCCTAGACCTGAAAGTGTGTGTGTTCTTGAGAGGTATGAGAACATCCATTACCTGACTTACAGAGTGCCATACCTCAAGCCATATGGAAGTGTAAGAGCTGAACAATTCACAAACACAAATGGATAAACTTTAGCTATGTACTTGAATCTTTTAAAGATACAGACATACAACTACCTTTCCAAACAGGGCAGTGTGAAGAGCATACAAATGAAATGGCAAGAAAACTCTAACATTAGTTAAGACTACTGATTACTTTTTACCTCATTTCAATGTCCCACAATGCTACATCATCACTTATCCAGGGATTGGAAGGCTCAGCAGGAGTTATAAAAGGGTCATATTCCACATACTGCTCTGTGTAGGCTATTAAACTGACAGGTAAAATAAAAAGAAAAAAAAAGAAAAAGAAAGAAAGAAAGAAAGAGAATCAGGGTTTGAATGCTCAGTCACATGTCAGAGAGGTACAGCTTTTTTTGTTATCCTTTTTTTTTTTTGGTGTGCTTATTTTTATTTTGTAGGGATTAGTCAGCTTTTCAACAACAACGGGAGACCCTTTTCCCAGGGATGATGCATGCAAGGATTTCTCTGCCACCAGTTCACTGCAGTATTTTCCTCAAGCTTGTCTCTATTAAGATGCCCACAAAAAGCCCAATGAGACAACAACCGGATTGCTACGGTAGGACTTTCCCCAGAGAACCATGAGATGAATAGGAAGTGTATGTCATACTGTTCATTTGTTGCATGTTACTATTGCCTCTCACCCTTTTCGTTTTTGCAGACTTTTGCACCCATGTAACTTTATGCATTATGGGAAACTCACCTAAATAGGGTCGTGGGCTGTAGCTAAGAATACACTTAAATCTTTGGAGGATCACAGTCCTGAGCATCAAAGCTTTGCTATAGATCATTTTTTGGTTGCATTGGTATATTATTTAGTCTAACGGCACTATTGTAAAATACTTTAACAGTACTTTATAATTAACTTAGACTACAGTAAATTATATGCATGTAGGAAAATCACCTGGCCTTTACACTGGCTTGCTTCATGGTGAGTCAGTTAAGGCATATAGCCTCTAATCCTCACTAGGATGAGTTTCAAAGAGCTTTCTGGGAAAAGGACCGTGTCTGCTCACATAAGTGATTCAGGAATTCCACTGGGATTGGGGCTAGGGGCACATTTTTACAAAAGAAAGACAGCATATATGAAATAAATCAAAGGAAATTTGTCCTAGTCCATACTGGAAATACTCTAAGGCATTTTTTCTTTTTTTTGCCTACGTCTGCCAAGTAATTAACTAAGTTAATTGTGTCTCATCATACTGAACAACTAATCTGCTTGCACTGTGATTGTCCACACTAAACTTTACCTCTGGTCTTCCCCATCTCAAAAAGGCAGGAGAATGAAAAGACCCTGTGAAACAAAGGGTCACAGAAGGCAGAAAGTTTCCCTGACCTGCTCTATAGTAATTATTTCTTTTTGTTTGTCCTAGCTCTTATCACGAGGCATTAAAATCATACACTTTTGTAACCACAGCAGGTTCCCATTGCCCCTTAGGGCACTCAGGGCTGTCTCATCTCATTTCAATAATTACATTTCATGACTGCTGTGGGTCAAGGGTTGGAGGAGGGAGCAGCGTCCAATTTCACAGAGCAGCAGCAATCCCTTAGACATCAATGAGAGAGAGGGTTGGTTAAAAGAGAAAAGAAAGCCAAAAAGGATCAATCAGGAGATATCTGCTGTGAAACCTGAATTGCTCCTAATAAAATAATAAGGCATTAGAGGTGCTAGTACAAGTACTAGCAAAAATAAAAGGGGGAAAAGCTAAAATGAAACAAGGGGGAATTGCTAAGCACATTTTGCTGATTCAGTATAATGACAGCAGTGGAATCATTGCCTCATTGTCTAAAGAGGCTACAGGCAGGGGAACTCCTAAGGGAAAGCGTTTCTGCCAAAAAGAAAACCTGAACTTCTGGCCTTTTGGGTGATAAACTGTGTATCTGGCAGAAGAGGTGGTGGGAAGAGTTGAATGAAGGGTGCAGAGCTTGCCCTGAGAACCCAACTGTCTCTCAATCAAGGGGGCCTGCTGAGCCTTCACAGTAACTTTGAGAAGCTGAAAGGATAGCACAGATTTTTTTATCTAGGGAGCTGAGATTGCTTCAGGTAGGAAGATGCTCATTTTTTCCCCAGCTATTTCTGCGATGCCACGTCTGATGAGATTGTACTAACACTGCACAGTGCAGTCAGGGAAAACAGTAGGTAGAATATATTGATAGTTTTGCTCAACAGTACTCAAATCTCAATGTCTAAACCTGACAGTGTGCAGGTCCCAAGTGGGAGGAAAGGATGTGGAAGAAAGACTGTTTGCAAGGTGTGTGGAGCAGCTGAGGGATGCCTGTTCCCACAGCTGGTGCAGATCTACTCCTGGAAGGGGAACAGAGAGGAAGGGGAAGAAAATCTTTAGTAGTGGGCATTTATTTCATGAAAGCTGGGGATATCCTTTGGAGAGCCTTTCTGTTCCTCTTCTGACAGACAAGGGCTATCTCCAGAATAGTGTGCATTAATGGAAAATGAATACATTTGGTCTGTTACTATTGAAACAATTCATATTTTATTGCTATAACTTGTTTCCTCTAGCACTTCCTGCCTTAGTTGCTCCTCGTTTCTTCCCTTATCCTTCCTGAAGGGGAGCTATACAGAAAAAATGGCAGGTGGTGACACTGTCAGTCTTGGCTGTAGAAGGAAGCATCACCTCCTGCTCTCTGATCTGCCACACTGTCACTTAAACTGTCCCAAGAGCAGGATCCAGCCTGAAAAGTGACTTGATAATAACAGCATCTCCGTACACAGTAAATTTGTTCCTAGTGCTTGTATTCAGTGTTTTAATGGGGCTTTCAGGTTGCACAGGTTTTTTTTCAGGCAATTGTTCAGCTCAGGTCATCCACAGTCATTCTTCCTCACTGGTTCCCCCCCACCCTGCCAAGCCCCTGGACTCATTAGCATTAGCCCCTCTACTTCCCTCCCACCTGCTCTGTGATGCTCCATGTCCAGACTGCACTTCCCACCACTCTCTGCACCAAGTCCCGGGACCCTCCATCCACGCTGCCACTCAGTCATCACGTAACCGAACACCTCCTCACAAGATATAAATATCACAACCATGATTTTAATTCTTTATAATTATTAATAATTCTTTAAAAATATAAATATTCATTTAGGCTGGATATTAGGAAAACATTCTTCACCCAGAGGGTGGTTGGGCACTGGAACAGGCTCCCAGGGGAAGTAGTCATGGCACCAATCCTGGCAGAATTCAAGAAGTGTTTGGACAATGCCCTCAGACACATGGTGTGACTCTTGGGGCTGTCCTGTGCAGGGCCAGGAGTTGGACTTGATGATCCTTGTGGGTCCCTTCCAACTCAGGATGTTCTAAGATTCTATAATTTGATTGTTCTCATTTTATTTACTTTTCTCCTGGTTATCAGTTTGCACAGGTTTTGATAGCAACATTTTCTCGTGCCATTTGGGAGCAATTAAAAGAAGGGAAAAAAAGCCCTTTCAAATCAGGAAAATTTTCTGTCTGGTTTTACTGAAAACTATTAGGATTTTTTTTTTTTTTTTTTTGCATTGACAACATTACATTTATAATATCAGTAGCTCCTTATAAATGTGAAGAAAAGATGTCTTATTCAATTTTCACAAGTGACTGAGTTTTATTGAGTCCATCTTACTCAATGGATCTACCTAGAAAAAAATCAAGCAAAACAGATCTGCTTGCTTGTAAATTACCAACCTGGAAAGTATTACTGTCTCAGTATATTAAGGCTATTGTAAGTAAATTCAGTACTTGGGGGAGTGGGTTGGTTCAGCTGGTTAGAGCATGGTGCTAATAATGCCAAGGTTGTGGATTCAAGAGCTGGATTTGATAATCTTTGTGAGTCCCTTCGAACTCAGAATATTCTATGAATATCTGAAACATGTTTTTGTTAAAGCACAAATGTATGTTCTTAATTAAAAAGATCCAAAACCCCAAAACATAAATACAGGTGTGCTCATCTGAATCATACAATATAGCATATGAAAGATTTTGAGGAGCCTCTGAATATTTTCTATTTAATTGGATAAATTTTCATTATAATTGCTATACTTTATGAGCCATTAGGAGCTTATGTTGGGCTTCCACTGTTTAATTTACTTAGTTTAGTACATACATGCTAACTACAGGTGCAGGCACTGCGAAGCACATTTCATAAAGTAATCTCTTTTTAATTTGCTTAAATAAAAATTCCTCTATTATTCCTCTAGAAGGAACCAGCCCTTATTACATCCCTCATGTTCAACACAGTTTTGCTTTAAAAGCGATGTCACTGAAGAGCATGCCTACCCCTACCTTCATCTCAGTGATTCCCCTGAAAATGTGCATAATTTACAAGTACCTAAGTAAAGAAGCTGCCTTTGTCAATGAAATTTGAGCTTGTTCTTCACCTCTTTATACTCTTCTACCAGAATTAAATATTCTGCAAGTCAAACTGTGCCTTGATTTGCCTCTAAGAGAGATCCACCTCTTAAAACACTGTCTTGAGTAGTCCAGGTACAATCCCCAGTACTTCTCATAAGGTTTCATATATGTGAAAGTGGGAGGAGGAACTGGCCCTACAACTCCAGAATGAACACAGGCATGAACAACCATGTGCAACAGATGCAAACACAGCTCCTTCTTCAGAGCTGTGCCAGACTAAGAAAAGATAAGCACTGAGAGTTCCCCCACAAAATAAAGGGTATTTTCATATTGAAACAGGAATGACTTTTCTATAAATAAACTCTAGAGTTGCAAAGGGGTGGGAAACAAAAGTCCTGCAAGGGTTTTTTCTTTTTTGAATGCTTCTTTTGTTTTTTGCAATATGACAGCATCCTCATTTTCCACCTAGGTTTCCTCAGTAGCAGAGAAGCACGTGCAGAAGTTTCAGTGGCCAGCAGACAGCACAGCAGGTCAAGGAGGGGAGAGGATAGATGCACAGAAAGGGGATCAGCCTTTGTACTTTCCTGCCCACTCTCTGTCTCTAGAAATGCCACACTGGAGATAAGGAAAGAAAGGGAAATCGTGCAAATAGGGACACTCACCTTTCTGCTACTTTGGACATCTTTAAACAGTGTCTCTCTATCTGCATGTTCAGAAAAGTTATCTGAGGAGAGAGATGACAAGGACATTAACAATCCATGAGTTGTACAGCATGCACTGACAATATACCAACATCCTATTGATTTCTCTTTCCAAACAGCTTGAAAGTAACTCAGAAGGAAATGGGTCCCTTCCCTAGGTATCAGAAGAAGCTTATTAACTGATTCCTATAGGAGCAGTTATTTCCAAAGGCAAAGCTCCAGGGGAAGCTTCAGAAGACATAATTAAAAGTAAGAAACACACATATTTGGGGCTGAGGTTCCTAGACTACTCAGGATGCAATATGATCCCCTTGTTACAATCACACTCCTCTCTCCCATTTCTCTAACTGACTAGCACCACACAACCAATCAGTTTTACAGCATACTTGCACTCTGCTATGAACTAGTTCTTCAGTCTATGATAGAAAAAAAGCTCAATAAATTTAGTGTTCTGGGTTAGTTCAGAAGACCACCCGAAAACTGTCTGCCTAATAAACATGTTTAAAGCTGCCTTTACTAAAATGTTGACCCAGCAATTCCTGTTTATCCTTCAGTGAAGATTGCTTATTGCAGGAAAGTAATTCTGAGAGAGAGGTCTCTGCGCCAGGGCAAGGATGTGTGAGCTGGCTGGCCATTCTTTGCCGTGATTGTGCAAATAACTTTTTCCCAGTTCCCTAAAAGCTCTGACTGTACAATCTAACAGTTATGTACTGAACGATGCCTTTCTTCACCACCAGTTCCCAGCCTGTGCCTAAGCATACTGGCTTCTTCCCTAGCCTTTGTCACTGCTCACTTTTCAGACATCCTCAGTGAACTGGAAACTAATCTGTTTACTGGTCCACAGACAGAGTAACAGTAGATTCAAAGGTCAGTATTACTCATAATACATATCATCATATAACTGCACTGCTCAATGGATACTTACTACTTTACATAAGTAAGTGAAAATCAAGGACAGATAAAGCATACAGTTGGTTTTGCTGATATCTCCATAACTTTACATGCTTTTTTTTCAGGTAACAGTTCTCAGAAGAGTTGCCATACAGCCACCCACTTACTTGCTTCCGGAAGTCCTCCTTTGTAGTTTTGCGTACCGGCTGGGATGGCATGTGTACAGGGCTTTGGGGCTGAGACTCCTCTGTAACCCCATATACCGACTGTGAGGAACCAAAAAAACGTACAGAAGGGATTACAGCATTTTTCTCTGTTATGCAATGAGGAACAGTGTGGTATGCAAAGCAGTAAGGTAATAAGCCAGCAATTTCCTACTGTTTATACCCACACAGGTCAATAATCATTCAGCCTGGAGCAAAATTTACAGATCAGACCACACTTGCACATGCCTGCAGTTGGAAGGTCTGTAGGCATGTTGAGAAAAGAGTTTGTTTTAAATGTTAAAATGCTGATAATTTTTAGGAGCTCTGAAGGCTGTGTGTGTCAACACTCACAGGGTGAACACTGAGAGTGTGTTCATTGTGATGAACCAAGTGACAAAAGAAAATAATAGTAAACAGACTCAAGTTGCACCAGGGGAGGTTTAAACTGGATATCTGAAAAAATTTCTTCATTGAAGTAGTTATCAAGCACTGGAACAGGCTGCCCTGTTGAGTCAATATCCCTGGAGGTATTTCAAAGATGTAGATGTGGTGCTTAAGGACATGGTTTAGTCGTGGACTTGGCTGGGTTAAGGTTTTGAGTCACTGATCTTAAAGGTCTTTTTCGACCTAAATGATTCTCTGACTTTATATACACAGAAGAACTTAAACTTGCTGGAAGTCAAAGACACCCAAGTTGCTAATGATCCAGCCTTAGAAATGATTAAGGCAGATAAACAGTTCATTATCTGTGCCCAGATAATTTCGGAAAATGGGACTTAGGTACTTTTGCCAATTGCTTTTAATTTTATGGGAGTGCAGAGTCATCAGACTTTGGGGACACAGAGTTCCTTAATGCCCTTTTCAGTTCTACCCATCACCCAGTCTGTACCACTCTGCTGGTAAAATTGAAATAATTTATTCATCAAGCAGAACAAACAGAACTGATATTATCAAAACACTTTTTTTTGGGTTCCTGTTGGGTAAATCTGATATACTGAAGGTGTCGAGCATGACTTACATTAAAAAATAACCAAAACCAATGAATCAAAAAAACTCCAAGCAAGCAAAAACCAAAACCAAGAACTCAAACTAACCTTTTTCACTTTTTGTGGATTTTTCATACGGCGACATTTTCTAATGTCCATTTCTGTGGTGTTCACACAACCTGGCTGAAAAGAGATGGTAATTGTGTTACTCCTCTGTTTACAACCTTCATGCTACCTTATCTTTCTAAAATATACAATTAGATCTTGTCCAAAACTTTTTTCTGAGGTTTGTGTCACGTAAACTATTCTTGCTAAACAAGAGACTGCATATATCCAATGCCATCTCAGCATCCAATCCATTTACTCCTAACCTTGGCATCAAAAGGAAATAGCTAAGAGGGAAGCTTTTTCTAGGAAGTCTGAGCCAAACTCGGTAAGCTGCTTTTCTTTCATAAGCACAGAAAATAATTTTCCAAACTTCACATATTTCCAAATCAATAGTTCCATACATGCACAAGCTCAGAATGTCTAAAATAATCTTGTAGACGTTTGGTGTGTTTTGAACTGCAAGGAAAATCCACGCGATGACTTTAAAGGTGATGTCTTCATGCATAGCACAGTGTTTACCAGTATTAAAACTTTCCCATCAAAACCTGGAAAGTCTCATTGTTTAAAAGAGCTTTACCACAGGCCTGTGCACATCCCAGAATGCTCTTTCCTGGCTGTCCAAAATCTTTCTTTCTGTTTTATCCTTTTTCCTGTCGATTCTGAAAAAAAAGCATAAATGTATGAGTCAATGTAAAGTCAATGAAAGTCAATGCTTTCTTCTTTGATACAGTTCCTAGATGGGGTTTTTAACCCCACAACAAAAAAATTCAGGAATCAGCTTTTTTTTTTGTACAGCAGTGTCACACTCACACTTGCAAGGCCGCATGCCATGAACAAAATAACGCTGATGTTTACTCCAATATGGATCAAAAGAGATTCTCCTATTAATGTGAAAAATTTAACACCTGTTTTTTTCATCTGTTGAGGAAAACAACCTTTCCTGATACTCTGTCCCTAGACCTTGATTTGACAGGCTAGGGAAGTCTGCGGCTTTGTCTGTGTCAGGAGACCCACCAGAACCTGTTTGTTCCAGGTGAGGCTCTTGACTGGTGCTGGACTGAGGTCCTCATCAGGAGATCCCATTGCACCCTGGTGCCCCAGCAGCACCACTGGCATGACTACAAACTGCAAAGGATGCTGCAGCAGCGGAATGCCCAGCAGCAACAGCACTTGTGGCCACTCCTCCTTAGAGCTTTCAACACCAAGACTGGCTCTGCCAACGTGCCCCAATGCTGGCAGAGCAAGGGTTGACAAGCACAGGTGACCAGAGCTGAGCTTGCTGCATGGCCCTGTGCAAGCCAGCGCCCACCCAAGAGAGACGCGCCTGGGCTGGCACAACAGTAATGCAGTAGTTTTAGTCCTGATGTAGTCAGTGAATCAACTCACTCAAAGGCCACCAGAGGTTGTTCAAAGCAACTGTTCCCCTATCTCTTGGCAGCAGTGAGCAAGTCACATCTGGCACCTCACTCCTGTGTGCAGCTCTACACATAAGCACAGCAAGGTCACCACCAGCTTGCAAGATCTACCTGCATAGAGACTTGGAGGAGGCACATGGAAGGAGGAACAGCCTCCACTTCTAGAGCAGGACTGTAAAAAGTTCACAGCATCCCTGTGCTGGGTTGCCAGATTGCTGCCACCCAGGAAAATCAAAGCAGCAAGGAAAAAAACCCATGCTAGGTTCTCTCTCACCTGTTTTCTTTTGGAGGGGCAGTGACCCTTAGCTAAGTCTGTGCTAGAAATGTACCAAGAGGATAGGAAGCAGGGGACTAAAACTGAAGTTTCTGAATACTACTCCCCACAAAAAGCCCATGTCCTCCACTGTTTGGCATCACTCACTGAACTTCCCCTTTGCAAGGCTGAGGTGAGAAAAAAGTTCTGCACAAGCTCTGTCCCTGCACAAAGACAGAGCAGCCACCAGACAGCAGTTGTTGTACTGTACTGAGGATACCCAGCCCAAAACTACTTCTGAGTGAGTCCTTCACACCTGGCCAAAGGAGAAGGTGAAGTCTTCTGCCAACCTTATATCACACAGCACATACAAACAGGAGGGACTCTTTGGAGGCTTCATGAATTCTCTTCACTGATACTTTGTGCTCAACCCAGATTGTCAACTCTTATCTCCAAACTTACTGATAACTCAGGATTTCACATTTTAAACTATGAAGACCCAAAACAGCTAGATGCTCTGTGGCTGTGGTTTTTGAGCAATCTGTGTATAGCAATGGGAATACTGTGTGCAAAGACATTGAAGGCAATGCAAAAGTTGGTAAGCAGGAGGAATGTTTTCAGGTTTTTGGGGGGGGGGTTTTTTGGGCTTTTTTATGTTTTGGTTTTTTTTGGGTTTGGTTTTTTTTTTTTTTTTTTTTTTTTTTTTTTTTTTTTTTTCCTTTTTCTTTTTTTAAGTTAACTTAGGTCTGTGAATTCACTGTGAACTTCATCCCTTCCTTTTTGGAAACCTGAAGACTGAACCACCACATGAACTGGAAACCAGAAACTGAAACTAGCCTGCAAAAAAAGTTGATAGTTGCCAGTTCACGCTTAAGTTTCAAAGAAAACAGAATGGAGAAAAGATGAATAAGCAACAGTGATCACAAAGAATCTGATATTTACATTTCTTTCTTAGGTAATAATTATATGTTTTAGACAGAATGCAGAATTTTGTCTTGATTTAAGACTTTTTTTTTCATCTTGGCAATAGCCTTTAAGTAACTGAAAGTACAACTGGTATCATAACTGCTAATTTTCTCCTCCAAACAGAACAGTGGGATTCTGGTTGGAAAAAATCCCTTAACTACCTTGTAATTTAAAAGATAACTATCATGTATTTAAATGTAACACAATTATAATGTTACTAAGCAAAGAATTAATCAAAATTCCAAAGGTTTAATCAAGATAGAGATGTATACCTCAAGCCACACCCTCAAGAAATTATATTCCTTAACTTTTTAGCATCTAATGCTGAAAGTGCAAGTTCCTTCTAGTGGTACAGAGTATCAGTACTGGTGTTCTCATGTGCCATCTTTACCAGCCCTTCTATTTTATAGGTGACAACTACCTGCACAAAATGGACACTTAGGAGTTTTAGATACTAGTTTGTTGACACTAGTAGACAAACCCTGGACCATACCCATTTTCCAGCAATAATGAATATATGCTCAAAATATTAAGAGGCTTCAAACTGCTTCCGTAAGGGAAGATGAGAAGAAAAGAAAAGTAGATTTCAATTATGAGCAGAGGATAGGAAAAACCCAAATACTAAATATGAGTAGATTTCATGTAAGTGGTACCCAATTCTCTGTGCTAATTTAGTAGCATGAGTTGAACTACAGAGTAAAGATACAACAGAGTCAACTAGGGATTACTGTAAATGAGAAAATCAAATTCAGTCTGCTGTAAATATCACCCTTATAATCACACTGAAGTGACAGTAATTTTTTACTCAGAAATACTCTACAAGCATAGAGTAACACAGACAGATGACAAAATTCTGTTCTTTCCATTTATACAAAACGAGAATACTACACAAATGTAGAAGCAGAATGGGTACGTGAGTAGCCCAAGCTCCCATGATGAATCCAGGCTCTGGAGCTCCTGACCAACATTTCCATGTACAGATAATTAAACCACATTTCAGATTCTGGCACAGACCTTCAGAATTGGCTCTCTACTCTTTCTAGTCTGCCAGTGATTAAAATTCACCAACTTCTGAGCTTAGTCACAGTAAAGATTTTGACAAAGAAGTTTTATTTGTACAGAATCCCCTTCCCTTCACAGCTCTAAATACTGGTGCAGTTCAGTGCTCTGGGATTACTCACTTCACTTGGGCCTCTGCTTGCATGAAGATGAATTCCCACTTTCTTGCAAACGCTCTCTGAAGTCTTGCTAAGTTTTCCTGACAAAAGATGAAAATAGTAAGAACAACAAATCTCTGTAATTACAACAATTACTTGAGAGCACAGTTAGCATGCTGGGTATTTATTTTATTCTTTTTTTTTTTTAAGCTGTAACACTCAAGACATGGAAGTCAGTGTTGGTTTCAGGTCAGCTATCTTGCAGGCAAAGCAAGGCTGTAACACATCTTTTCAGGCTGCAGCCCAAAGGACCCTGTCAGGGATAAGTAATGGAGTGTGATGAAGACAGTTTGAGCTCTACTATGAAAAAAATGGACTTGTTCCCAAAAGATAACACTGAGCAGCTTTGTGAAGCTGACAACTTTTCATTTCTAATACCAGATGGCTGCCACCTGCACATTTCCCTCTCATCCTCACTTTCCCTTCCTCATCCCTCTGCTCTCTTCTCTTCAGGCTTTTATTAAGGTGCAAAGCCAGAGCATCCCTTGCTTTGCTCAGTCCTGATCACCGCTGAGAGCATTACATAGCTGCACAGTACTGAAGGCTGGAGACTGCCAGCATGATTCACAAAAGGAAACAGCTTGTTTGTCTGAACAGTTACTGCAAAGACTGGATCCACATGCAGTCTTGCTTTACATCTGAGGTAAGAGCTCTGGTCCAGACCCATTACAGAAAGTGTAGTGATCTGAACATTTGGATGTGGATGTGACTTCATCACAGTTCAAGGTTAAACTCGGGGCATGGCCAGAATTTCAGGCTTAAATGGCACCCCAAGTTCACATATCCACACCCACCCCAACAAGGAGGCCCGTGAAACCATTAACTTGACACTCTTCTCCATTATAGCTGGTTTAACTATTACAAATTTAAACTGAAATTGGACACTTGTAGTTCTACTGCTGTTTTTTTTATACTTATCACCTTTATTTCAAGGAACTGCTTAGACATATGCATTTCAATACGAAAAGAATTCTTCCTATTATTTAAATTCTTGTATAACACAAGGCATAAAGCTTGTGTTACCTGTTACCACAAAGGCCATGTAACAGTTCCAGTCTGTACACATGGAGGAAAACAGTTAAGTAAATGATTTACAGATTGCTGAACTATGATTTCCTTAACTGTGACTACAAGGAAGAACTACTTGTAATTATCTGTAACACCAATTTTTGTGGGTGGTTTTTTTAATTTTGTTTTAAATTTTGCTCCCTGGAGTAAATATGCTGAAGCCAATGAAAGATCATCAATTGAAGCAATATTTGAATCATGCTTATGTTTGACCAATTATAAACAAAACTGAATGCAATTATACAAGCTTAATCATATCATCGAGACCCCTGTTCTACCTAGTATAAATGGGGGTTGGGTGTTGCCTGTAAATGCTGCAAGCAGAACCTAAAAATGAGATGTCCTCTGAGATGCTTTGTAGAGATTCTCTTTCAAAGCTCCAGGTCATTGCTGATACCTATGGAGATGCATCTTCATGCTGCATCTCCAAAAATGTGTACTAAATGTACAGGGCTCCTTCTCACTCCTGCAAGCTTGTTTCTCTCACTTGTGCTTAGCTTACATCTCCATTGCTGGATGTGCTTCAGCTCCCATAATGAATAGGAAGAGTTGGTGCCATTCTTATCTGAATGTCTCTAATTAAGAGAACAAAGTTTGAATGCAGAAGTAATCTTTAATTGTGCAATGCAATATTCACAAGAAAAATGAGAGACTGCCAAGATCTAATTATTTACCATCACTGGAGCACTGCTACTCTCAGTAGGCAACAATGTGCAAAAGTACTTAGCCATAGCCTCGCTGCATGTGTGTGGGAGTATGTGCGCTGCTGAACAGCCTTTTGTTGCCTTTTGATAGATCTTTAGAGCACTTACAGTTAATTGGTTGGATGTGAGCAATTTTAATGATTTTAATAATGAAATCAGTAATATGCAGAAGAGAAAACTCAGCAAAAGGACATGTAAGTGCATGCAGATTATTATATTCCTTCCTTTATGCCTGTTCAAGATTAGAACTCTTGGGAACTAGTCCACTTCCACAGTGGACTAGATAAGTGGCAATTTTTGCATGCTCTGCACTGAAAGAACCAAATAGCATGTGTATATCTCTCCACATCCACAAAAGTCCCAAAATGTAGAAGGCAAGGCATAAGGAAAAACTCCATTCTTCGGAAAAAGTCCACCCTTAAAATATATGCTATATGTTTTCACTGTAAGAAATATGACCATAGAAGTCCACTAGAACCAGCTTTGTAAACAAACCTTCCAACGAAAAACTTCAAATATGAATTTCAGCTGTTACATTGTTGAGCTAGTAAACAGAAAAAAGTCAATATGGTAGAAGTAAAAGTTCAGCTGCTCAGAGTGTTACACTGCTGGTATTCAAAGAAATACACAGCCCTGCCCCTCCTCCTGTCTCCATCTTCCCACTCCTCTCTGCCCAACCCCTGCACAGTCTGACACCTAGGTTTGGGATATTTTTATCGATAATAATTTCATATCAGAGAACACGTTCTGAATAAGCTTGAGCAATACTTTTTACGTGGCATATTGTTCCAAGTCTAATATCTGAAAACTTTTGTAACTAGATGGATCATGAACAATTTAACTGGCCAATGGTGCAACTGAAAATCCACCATTTCCATGTGTTAAAATCTGCTATATAAACCATCATTTCTTAACCAGAAACAGGACACCAAGCTAAACTTCTGTGTAATTTGCCCCAATCCTGGAGAGCTGGCTATACAGCAGATGCTTTAATTTGATACACCGCAAAGCCAGGGACGTTCATCAATAATGTTCCTGATGTTGTCTCCGTATCAACCTTCACACAATTCTGTCAATTAAGAAAAAGACACAGTAAAGGCTGACCCCAAGGCACAAAATGGCAGCATTCAATTGGCAAGCAAAGCCATCCCTGCAACTCCCAGCTGTAAACTCTAGCAGCAGTGTACCTACGGCTTCATAATCCGCCAGCTCCAGCCTAGCTTTGTTCTGCATGGTCCGTTTGCAAAGATAGATGGCTAAAGGGAGAAACAGAATGGAAAACAATTACAGACAGATTATTAGTACTAGATATTATAAAAAAAAGAAGAAAAAAACGGTCCACAGATTATTCATTTTCATCAGAAAGCAACATGAGTCAAGGAATGAGAGGGCTGAACATTCAGCTGACATCACCCACTAGTAATCTCAGAGGCCCTAAACATCTTGGACATCTCATTTAAAAGTGCTAAGAGCAGATGCCAGGACCTAACAAGATGTCCAAAAGAGGCACAGTTGCTTCTGGGGCTGGTAAAAGATACAGAATTAGCAACCTGTTCCTCTCAGGACTTTGGGAATATGCCTGCACTTCTTTTCCGTTTTTGTAAGAAAAAATAAAAATAAGAATGAAGGACATTAAAATGAAAACAGAAATATGGGCCAGACCCGAAAGGTATATCCTGGCATTTTTTAATATGCTCCATCCACTTATTCTACACATTTCAAACAGTTAAGAGAAGCTTGTCACATTTCACCGTAGGCAGATGAGATGCTGCTGAAACTCATGTGGTTTGGGATTTTGAGGGTCAAGATGAGCCCAGTGCACAAGACCAAACCAGTCCCAGGTTGCCTTCTGGGAAAGCCTCACCTGGATCTGCTAAACTCACTTCATTTCCATCACAGGCTGAAACACAAGGTCCACAGCACACCCTGGGTATATAATTAGGTCTGAACTATACAAGAGTCCTAGTGCTACTCATGTAGTTCTATTCTATGCTATTTCTATAATTTTAACATTCATACAACGAGCCAGTATCATGCATGGTAACCAGAGCCAATCAGTTCATTTATATTTATACATCTCAAGGGCAGTTTTCGCTGTAAGCCCTTTATGACACCAAATAAAGTGAGAGTCAGTTGTCTCACAGTATTGTTTCATGCGAGGCAGTGACCTGCCATTAGCAGGCTAGTTCCTGTCCTGTAAGTGGACACATGCAAATAAAAAAAAGTATGAAGTGCTGCTGGGATTTGAGTTTTATTTGGATCCACTGCTAGTTTTGGGATTAATTCCTGTGAAGACTCCATCTGTACAGACCTCCGATATGCAAAGTCTGATTATAAGCATATGTTAGAGGTTTCTGGGACAGATGCAAATCTGTTACTACAGGGCTCAGAGCTAAAGCAGTTGAAGCTTGTCCAGCTGTGGGTCAGCTCATATAGGGCTTTATTTTGGAGTGTACTGCTCCAGTCAATACCACTGCAGCACAATAATCTGACTGCAAAACCAATTATTTATCTGACATTGCAGGGAAAAAAAAGAAACTTCCCTTTTCACATTGTTATTCTGGTATTTACAGAATACGTATTTGGCACAGTTCACACAGCGATATATGTGTGATGACTGTAAAATCTGGAAATTATTTTGCATATACTGAACAGCATCATGTTTTCTCCAAAGCAGTTCCCTCACTGGGATAAACACGTAAGTCTCTGCTAGCTTCCCTGCAGATGAGGACTGCAAATGAACTATCCTATGACACACACCATAGCAGACTACTTCTTCACCCTAGCAAACGATTTCCAGAATCCATAATGATGATTAATTATAACCCAGGAAAGAAAAAAACCAAACTGATTATTCAGGGAGGCGTTCTAAACCAATCTTAGGTAATGAGATAAAAGAAGGACTTCCAGAAGCTTCTGTTTTATGAGTGCACACATGGATACACTTCCTCTTCCAAAGCCACACCAGGATACAATAATTAATTTTATCATTTAACTGTGAAAGAAATGCAGTTCTGGAAGAGACAGCAATATTGCATGCAGACAGCTAAAGATAACAACACTGACATATTTTCTTTATGTATTATCACTGTCTGCAGGCACTCACATGCTTAACACACCATGTTGCAGTTTATTAGCTCATAAACCATGCTTAGTCTTCTCTTTTACCCTATCATCTGCTAATCTTAAAAAATTTGGAAAAATAAGTCCGATGTCATATATCAGAGAACTTTTAACTATTTTAACTATAGGTTGCCAATAATTATATACTGGTTTATTGAGCAGTGAGACAAGTGCCCAGATGAAGTAAATTTTATTGATCAACACATCAGATTCAGCTACAGTATATTCTCCCACAAAAGCAGTATTGGTATTATTTAAGATTCCCAAGAACCAGTATTCTGCTTGCCAAAAATCCTGCTGAAATGAACAGAGCTATGGGAGAATGAAGGTAGGTAACGACAGGTAAAATTCTGGCCCCACTGAGTTCAATGGCTACAGCTCCATGGGCTTGAGACACTCCAGGATTTCAATTCATGTATTTGAGATGGGCACATATCTGCCTCTAATGCTGCCATCTGACAACTATGTGGATGAAGGGTTTAGATGGCAAGCAGTAATTATTTTAAGGACACTTTTTCCCATCACAGACTTTCTGTACTAACTTTCTACAATGAAATAATTATACTCACCATAATCTGTGTTTTCTGGTTCCCAGCAATTTGAGGGCCAAAAGTATGGTGCCTAAGAAAAAACATAGACATTTTTGCAATTTAAGAGATGAAAAGCAATTCAAATGCAGAAAAACATTACAAGTACAAAAAGAAGAATCACAAAGTCAACCACCCAGTCTCTGCCCTCAGGGGAAAACACTGCTACAGATCTCCGTATTAGTGAGGATGCTTTTCCAGAAAGGTATGACTTTTAACATTCCTCACTGCAGGTAAATAGAGATGCTGTAATACAAGCATCTCTTGAGGAGAATGTCCAGTGTCCTGACAAAATTTTAGACCGTGTTGCCAGCTCATTTGAATGTGGACCTCTTATCCTCTATTCTTAAGAACCTTCTCTTTCCCCAGAAATTCACATCCTGAATTTTTAGGTTTTTTTTAAAGCATGACAAACCTCATGGCCTTATCTATATGCTACATAGCACTTGCTTTTTTGGAGCAGTTACCAGTATGGTTGGCAGACTACAAAACAATTTACTTTTTAATTATAGCAGATGGCAGAGGTCAAAACTTAGCTGTTTAGAGTCATTCCAAAAGCAGAAGTCCTGCTAAGCTTACTGCTTTTGTTTTCTATCCAGGTCTGCATATTGCCGTTGCTACAATTAATTACAAGATATTACTGTATGTGGCTGTATTTCAGATTTAACATAAATGAAAAATAATGTCCCAGTGATCACACAAATTACAGAACACTGCTTTGCGCTACTGATGTAAGGCCACAGATGGGCATAAGACATTAACACGTAGACTATTCCTTGCACCAAAGTACAGTGAGAAAACACGGAGTATTCAAATAATACAGGGTTTAATATTCCTCAATTATATATATCTTATGAACTTCAGAATATGAAGAGCTACTGTTAAGAGGGACTGATGTTGAGGTAAAAAGTAGCAAGATGAGAGTAGTGGAAAGGAAACGTGATTCTATCAGGTTATTTTTGCAGAAAACATCCGAGGAGGTCTGTTGTAAGAAATGACAACAAGCAAGGAATATGCAAAAGTTGTAAGAAAAGATAAGGAAAAAAGTCAACAAGCAGTCAGTTTGATGATGTGGTTTACACAAACTTAAAACAAGAAAAGGAAATTATATTATATTGAAATGTAGCTCCTAAGAGCTACACAGGACAACTTCTTACAGTGTCATCCTTTTAAAAAAGAGAAAAATACAGCTAAATGGGCAATCAGTATTGCCCCTTCTTCTGTCACATCTTACATGACAGGAAAGCAGAACTTTCAGAAAAGAAAAGGAATTGCAATGAAAAATTTGTGTCTGAATGATGTGTGGTAACCAGAAGGTGGGGTGAGATAAGAGGAGGTCTGTGATCTCCTGGGCTTCTTTGTTCACTATGATATTGGTCACATATGATAATACAATACCACATTAGCAGGACAGTGAGAACAAGCAGCAGCAACATCAGATGCAAAGTACAGAACCAGCTTTTCAAATAAAAGGTAAAAAAGAGGGAAAAATGTAAAGGAGGAACAGCAGGGTGAACAGAAAAGAGGTCACAGGAAAGATAAGGGATCTGGCTGAGATCACGTAACAGAAAAGCACAAATTCAGACAGCAGGATTAGGCATTACTCCAGGTTTGGACTTACCGCTTCTTCTAAAGTTATACAATCTGTCCAAAAGGAGTTGTTGCAGCACAAGCACTCAGTTATCTAAGAAGCTGACAGTGGCAGACTTTGGACAGGGCATAGAACTCAAGCACAGGATGCTTTAAAAATTCAGCACATCTGGAGGCACAGGGACACTGAGGGATATAGATGTCCCAGTTTAGGTGACTGCCAAGGTTACATATCCTTTGTAAAGAGCCAAAGTCTGAAGCTTGCCCCCTCCCACACCAATCTGCAAGCAAGAGAGGGTAAAACTTGGAATTTTCTGCTGTGCCAAAGCTTGAATGTCCAACTCCTAAGTTTGCCCTCCATTTTGCACAGAAGAATGGCTACTCAATTCTGTGCCAGAGTTACAGCCTGAAAGCCATTTTCTTTCTCCTGGCTTAGTTCAAATCTGAGTACAACAGCCTTGAAATAACGTATCAAAAATAATCACAGGACATACCCATTAATTTATGTAAAAAACTGTAGGTAAGAAAGTAGTAGAGTGTAATTTGTGATTTTAAAGCAGATCTTTTTGAAAAGACTTCATAACTTCGTAAGGCCTCTACCAAGATAGCTGCAATCCCTGGCTTCATAGACCTAGTGGTTGCTCAGGAATAAAGGGTGGGCAGTGTCAGCTGTATTACCGCCGGGACAGTGGAAGGGGCCACAAGGGAGTCAGAGGGCTCACCAACCTGAAAACGATAGAACGTCCCATCATCTTTCAGGGTAAGGACATGGTCTGAGATTGGAAAGACATAACCTTGTGCAGCAATGAGACTTCCCAAGTGTATTGCTTCCCCTGTGAAAGAGAGAAAAATGCAGAGAAGTATCAGCAAGATGTGCACTGCACATTTCTCTGCTTTCAACAGCAGCTCTGGTGATGACTTGTGAAATCTGGTGCCCACATGCCTCTCTGCACCCACACCCCATCCTTACTACTTCCAACCAAACCATGCAAAGCAGGAGTGCAGAATTCAGCTTTACAACACAGATGAAGCACCACTCAAAAGTTTAACCTGCTAGTTTTGCGTTCACAAAATGTCACACACTAGTTCAGCTCTAGAACATGAAATTAATTTCAAAGCACATTATCCACCACAGGTGACAGCTGACAAGAAGCCTGTTCCATCAGTGAACCTCACTTGCCTCTAACAAATCCAACAAACACCTGCAACATCAGGTCATTAGCAGGATATTTATTCATAATGACACATCCTGACACTGTAGCATTGCCACTTGTTAGAGAAAAACTGGTGCAGAGGCAAAGGAGAATACATTTCCTAGTGCTGCCAGGGCAACCTTCACCAGCACACAGGCATAGCTGCACAGATTTTCAACCAATGCCAGCTGTCAAAAGCTGCATCAACTTTCTCAGAACTGAAAAATACACATCAGCTGCTCATGCACCCCCAGGTAGATAATAAAGCTATTGTTTGCAGCTGAAATTCATATTTGGGACCTGACAGGACTCATGAGAAGGGATGTGTTTATAGGGATGTCCTGCTGGATGATACAACACTCTATCTCTGCTTTCACATGGTGACAGTAAGGCAGCAAAAAAACTGGTAGCTGACATTCTGGATTTTTTCCCTTTCCTGAAAAGAAAAAGAAACTTCTGGATCTGCAGATCTTTTTTTCTTCTTTTCTCAATAGATCATAACTGTGTCAAAATTATTTTGTTTTCTCTGAAGAGTGAACTATTTGGACTGTGCCCATGCACTGATCACTCTTTATGGCTCATTATCCATTTATCTATCTGTTGATTTACCTATCTGCTGTGATAAATTAGAGGCTGTCACCTGATCCCATGACGGTGTCTGTGTCATCCTTGGCCAGCATGTCCCACCAGTCATGGCTCCCTTTCTTCTCACCATGAAAACCTGCTACTGCATTTGCCTGCTTAACCACACACATACACCAACTTCCTTTCTAAGTCTGTGAACAAATTTAAAATCAATCAGTCTTCCCTAGGTAGCAACAGTTTCACAGACAAGCTAAAACTCCTACAATGATATTTCTCTGTGCTGCAATGTATACTTCATTAAGATACTGAGTCCCAACTCTTTCCCTCTTCCTTCCCTCCAATGTTTAAATCAATTGTGTTGTTTTACTGGTATTGTATACTGCAACAAAATAGTAATTATTGTCTAATAGCACACACAATATAGATGGAGTACCTGCTCCTCCTCAACTGTGGTCACCTTACCTGTATCCTCAATGCTGAGGTTCCTCATAAGCCACTGCACAATATCAGAACCTTAACAAACAAACAAAGAAGAAAGCATTAAACACCTAGACCACAGGGTTTGAGAGGCCTAGAGAAAAATAACACTGAGATAGATACAATAGAACTGTGAACTTTACTCCATTTTCTTTTTTATCTCCACTGAGGCTGCAGAATGTTCTTCCTTCTTGTGCTACACTGTAATTACATGGTTATGTAATAAGTCCCAAGAAGTTTTCTGTGTGATAGAAAACTTAACATAAATTAAGTCAGATATTACTCTAGTGGTTCCATGTAACTTGTCTCCCATTTGCTTCTCTCTCACCTCAGCATACAGTTATATTTATGCAAGCACTAGTTAGAAAGGAGATGAAGGAGCTTTTACTGGTACCTCACACATGTAATATACAAAACTGAAACATCACTCAAAAAAAGACAGAGGAGGGTCTTGCTCATGCCAGAGACAAGCAATGTCTTGGAGAAGGAAGTGGTATTCAGAGTGCCTGTAACCAAGGGACTGTCACCTGCTAGTGATCACACAAGCTGATTGGTGGCCAGGAGCAGAGAAGTGAGTCTTTAAGGTCCATCAGGTAATTCATTAGGTTTTCAGGGCCCACCAAGTATTATGAAAGTTGTTGCTACCTTATAAAGAGCATCAAGTTCTCTAGGATTAATCGTCTACATGTATGCAGCCTCTCTGTTGCTTGCATGAAAATGATACAAGTGGAAAACTTATCACTGTTCAGTAGAAGCTAAGGCCTGTTATCAAAATACAATGTGACAGGGCAGCAAAATTTAGTTAAATCACATATTCAGAAAGTTAAGCTTAAAATGAAACATAATGGTCTGTACAAGCCAGCTGACTTGAGTTGTCCAAAATCAAAGGCAATCAGCAAAGACACTTGGAGGCAATTTAGCAAGTCCATACCAAGTTACAACAGTGTGCAGCACAACCTAATGATGCCATGTCTGGGTGCAGACATAACACCAAGCCCTTCTCAGCATACAGTCAATTTACTGAGAAATATTTGCATTCACATACAGTGGACTAATAGCTTCAGTAATATTCTATAGAATCAGAGACTTGCCTGGACTGGAAGCACCGTAAAAATAACCAGTTCACATTCCTCTGCCATGGACAGGGATGACACCCACTAGACCAGGTTGCTCAAAGCCCTGTCTAACCTGGCCCGAACACTTCCATAGACGGGGAACCCACAACTTCTCTGGGCAACCTGTTCCACTGCCTCATCACCTTCATTGTAAAAAGATTCTTTACACCTAGTCCGAATTACCATTACCCCTTGTCCTAATTACCATTACCCCTTGTCCTATCACTATCTGCCCATGTAAAAAGTTGCTCTCCCTCTCTTTTATAAGCCCCACCTTAAGTACTGGAACGCTGCAATAAGGTCTCCTTGGAACCTTCTCTTCTCCAGGCTGAACAGTTCCACCTCTCTCAGCCTGTTGTCACAGGAGAAGTGCTCCAGCCCTCTGATCATCTTTGTGTCCCTCCTCTGGACTCACTCCAGCAGATCCAAGTCCTTCTTGTGCTGATGCTCTGTTTCAAGTGGGGTCTCCCAAGAATAAAGTTGTGGGGCAGAATCTTGTCCCTCAACCTGCTGGCCATGCTGCTTTTGATGCAGCCCAGGATGTGGTTGGTTTTCTGGGCTGCAAGCACATGTTGCTGGATCCTATCCAGCTTTTCATCCACAAGAACCCTGCAGTCCTTTTCTACACGGCTGCTCATGATGAGCTCATCTCCCAGCCTGTACTCAGGTCTGGGATTGCCCCAACCCAAGTGCAGGACCTTACACTTTGACCTGGTGAACTTGATGACGTTCCCATGGGTCCACTTCGCAAGCTTATCCAGGCCCCTCTGGATGGCATCCCATCTTTCTGTTGTGTCAACTGCACTGCTCAGCTTTGTGTCACCTGCAAACTTGCTGAAGGTGCACTCACTCTCGCTGTCTATGCCATTGATGAAGATATTAAAGAGCACCAGTCCCAAGACAGAGCTGTGAGGGACACCACTTGTCTCCAGCCTCCACCTGGATGTAGTGCCATTGACCACAATCCTATGGCTGCATCCATCCAGCTAATACATCCCAATCCACTGAACAGTCCACTGTTTAAATCCATCTCTCTTCAATGTAGAGGTTAGGATGTCATATGGGACCATGTCAAAGGTCTTAAAGATGTCTGGGTAGATGACATCAGTTGGTCTTCTACGTCAACTGCTGCAATCACTTCATCGTAGAAGGGCACCAGATTGGGCAGGCACGACTTGTCCTTAGTAAAGTCATGCTGGCCTGTCTTGAATCACCTCCTTGTCTTGTATGCATCTTAACATTGCTTCCATGAGGATCTGCTCCATGATCTTTCCAGGCACAGACGGGAGGCTCACTGGTGTGTACTTCCCTGGGTCTTCCTTTCTCCCCTTCTTAAAAATGGGAGTGATGTTTCCCTTTTTCCAGGTACCAGGGACTTGTCCTGACCATCATGAATTTTCAAATATGATGGAGTGACTTGGCAACCACATCAGCCAGTTCCCTCAGGACCCTGGATGCATCTCATCAGGCCTTATAGACTTGTGCCTATTCAGTTTCATCAGGTGGCCTTGAACCTGCTCTTCATGTACAGTAGAAGGGACTCACTGAGTACCTTGGCCTTCTCCATATCTGTTGTTACGAGTTCTCCTTTCTCTTTTATCAGGTGGGGTAGACTATCCTTGGCCTTTCTTCTTTTACCTATGTACTTATAGAATCCCTTTTTGTTATTTTTCACATCTCTTGCCAAATCTCATTCCATCTGTGCCTTAGCTTTCCTGATCCCATGTGTAGGGACACATCTGAACTGTACCCCTGTACTCTTTTCCAGGCCACATGTCCCTGCCTTCCACAGACTCTGAATTTCTTTCTTGCTCCTCAGTTTGAGAGGCAGATCTGTGCTCAGCCACGCCTGCCTGGCTTGATTTCCTATACACTGAAATGGAGAACTCTTGTACTCTAAGTAAAGTGTCTGTAAAGAGCTGCCAGCTCTGGTCAGCTCCTCTGTCCCTAAGGACAGTTTCCCAGGGGATCTCATCCACTAATATTTTAAACAGCTGGAATTTTGTTCTTCTGAAGTTTAAGGTCCTGATGTTGCTCTTTGCCATTGTTGCTCGAGATCACAAACTAAACCAGGGTATAGACAGTACAGCCCATGCAGCCTCCAATCTTACCCTCCTTAATGAGCTGTGCTATGTTTTGTGATGTATCAGTTGAAGACAGCATACAAAAAGGAACTGACCAACCATATGAATCACAGAATACGCTGAGCTGGAAGGGACCCACAAGGATCTTCGGGTCCAATCCTTAGTCCTGCACAGGATCATCCCCAAGAGTCACATCATGTGCCTGAGAGCATTGTCCAACAGTTCTTGAACTGTGGCAGGCTTGGCGCCATGACACTTCCCTGGGGAACCTGTTCCAGTGCCCAAACACCCTCTGAGTGAAGAACCTTTTTCTAATATCCAACCTAAACTTTCCCTGACACAACTTCAGGCCCTTCCCTCGGGTCCTGTCACTGGTCACCATAGAGAAGAGATCAGTGCCTGCCCCTCTGATTCTCCTCAGGAGAAAGTTGTAACTGCAGTGAGGTGTCCCCTCAGTCTCTTCTTCTCAAGGACGAACACACCAAATGACCTCAGCTGCTCCTCATATGTCTTCCCCTCAAAGCCCTTCACCATCTTTGCTGCCCTCCTGTGGACGCTCTCTAAGAGTTTTGTATCCTTACATTGTAGTGCCCAAAACTGCACACAATATTCAAGGTGAGGCTGCACCAGTGCAGAGCAGAGTGGGACAATCCCCTCCCCTCAACCGGCTGGTGATGCTTTGCCTGAGGCCCCCCCGGACACAGTTGGCCCTCCTGGTTGCCAGGGCACTGCTGACTCATATTCAACTTGCCATCGACCATCGACCTCATTCCCCTCTCTGTATGTACATCCAGGGTTGCCCCATCCCAGATGCAGAATCTGGCACTTTCCCTTGCTGAACTTCACATGGTTGGTATTTACCCAGTCCTCTAATTTGAGGGAGTCAACAGCTCCTCACGGTTTTGTGTTGCCTGCAAACTTGCTATAGTTCAGGCTTACTAAAATCCCAGAGGAACTTATTTGCATGGAGCACTTCTAAGCTCAGATGTGGACAAGACTATCCTATGCCCTCAGCAAACCTTAAATACAATAAAGGAGTCACAATTACAATGTGCCACAAGAGAGACAACAGGCACTGCTACTGTCCCAAGTCCATGCAATTATTTGCAGGTCTGACTAACTCTCCTTTACAGGTGAAATTCCCCCCAAAAAGTATGAGCTCTACCACAAACAGAAGGGGATAGCAGCTCCCACTCCCCTGACAATATAAGTAGACCTACAACACTACAAGGAGCACCAGTAAACCCTCTTCAGTCAGGCTTCAGCAGCAGGCAGGATATGGATCTGACCTCCCCCAACCCCCACGCAAGGCAGTGAAACAACCTATCTGTTCCCTGCAGACAACCAGCAGAGCTCCTGATGATAAGGGAAGCATCTGATTTCATTTAAGTACTGGGCAAACAGATGTGAGCAAGAAGCAGCAGCTGGGCATTGCCTCAATCTGTCTTTAAGGCATCAATGAACCAGACACTAAAGGACCAACCTCACAAGCTTGTATTCTCAGCATTCTCCACACCTGCTAACTCTACCTAGGAGCAATTTCAGTTGCCACTATATTATCTGGAAAGTTATTCCAGAAGATTTTTTTTTATTTTTTTTTTTACAGATTGAACTGTTCTTGTAACTTCAGAGCCTAAGTTTGTTAATGTGCAATTTATATGCATTTTATATCATACCTGCATTATCATTGAAGAAAAAGAATTATTCTTCTTCCTTGACAGTTTCTCCTGAATCTTTCTGCAGTGGGCTAACACTTTTGTCTCCCTATCTCCATTTCACTAAACCAACTGAACTCTTGTAATGTCTCTCAAGATGGTCTCCCCCTCTACTTTACCAT